CCTGAAGAGAAAGGAATCTCAAAAAGACACTGCTGACGATTGAACTCCTTCCCCTCAAAAGGCATCTGTGATTCCAGTGCAGGGACTGAGATAGCAGGAAGTGCAGCTCAGAAGTGAGTGGAGTTTAACAGACTCATGGGGCTGGAGAGACAAAACTTGGAGATAGGGTCTTGCTAAAGGACAAAGCACAGTAAACACTCTAGGTTTGCAACTGTAACTTACAACATGCTACATCCCAGGAGTAAGGAATAATAGGAAATAGGCCGACCCTCACAAAGAGTGAAACTCAGCTTTCATCAGCTCCATCATTTCTGCCAGAAGCAAAAATAAGTTATTTCTAGGGTAGAAGCTATCATGCAGAGAAGTGCCATCCAATAGAATTTCTTTTTTTTTTTTTTTTTTTTGAGACAGAATCTTGCTCTGTCGTAAAATATAGTGGCATCATCATAGCTCACTGCAACCTCAAACTCCTGGGCTCAAGTGATCCTCCCACCTCTGCCTGCGAGAGTGCTAGGATTACAAGTGTGAGCCACTGCACCCAGCCTAGGAATTTAATTTGAACCACGTGTGTAATTTAAAAATTTTTACAGCCACTTTAATAAAAGTAAAAAGAAGCAGGTGAAATTAATTTTAATGATGTATTCTATTAAATTCAATAATCTAAAATATTATCATTTCAGCATGTTAATCAATGTTTAAAAAGCATAAGTGAGATATTTTGCATTCTTGTTTATCTTACTGTCTTTGAAATCTTGGTATTTTAGATTGATCACTGGTAGGATCAACCTCTTGCTGATTGTTGGACTGAGAGCCTCAGTGCCTTGCCGGCTGTTGGATGGAAGCCGCCTTCAGCTCCTCGCTGCTGGGGCCTCTGCCCACATGGCTGCTTCCTCCCACAGAGAAAGCAATAGAAGCCAAAGGGCGGGGGAGGGGCGGGATGGTAACCAGTCTTTTGTAACCTAATCTCAGAAGAGATGTCCCACTGCATTTACTGTATTCTACTTGTCAGAAGCAAGTCCCTAAATTCAGCCCAGGCACACAAGGGAGGGGATTGTGCACAGACATGAATGCCCAGAGGCGCTGCCTCGCCCACACCCCAAACGCCCATCAGTAGGTCAGTGGACACAGATGAAATACCAATCAGCAGTAGAAAGGAGCAAACTATAGACATTCTCAACAACATGAATACATTTTAAAACATTATGTCGATTGAAAGAAATCAGACACAAATGATTCCATTTGTCTTGAATTCTAGAAAATGTAAACTAATCCATAGTGAAAGAAGCACATCTGTGGCTGCCCACACCCTGTGGTGGCGGGAGTGGTCGAGGCCGAAGGAGTGAGGAAAATTGTCTGCATTTTGATTGTGGTGGAGGTTACACTAGTATATACATTGGCCCAAACTCATCAAATCGTATGCCTTAAATTGTATGTGAATTATATTTTATATAAATTATACCTTCATAAACCTAATAGAAAGGAATGTCCAATAGGATACCATTTACATTAAATTCCAAAAATTTGCAAACATAAATAACATGCATTTTATGATACATGTATATTCTGAAAATGGAATAAATAAATTAGAGTTATTTTTTGTCATACCAACTAGACTGGAGTCAAGGGACCAAGGGAAAAAAATCACTCTTGGCATAAAGTGCCTGCTTCAAGAATTATCCCACAGCCCAGGTGCTGAAAT